CTAGCTTTGCAAGACTGCACACACATTGGTGGAGAGTGGGTCAGATCCGTCCTTAAGAAATGAAAATTTGGAGACCTTAGAGCACCTTACACTAGCTCTGGGAGGCTACACACACATTGATGGAGAGTGGATCAGATTTGACCTTCAAAATTGAAAAATTGGAGACCTTAGAATACCCTACACTATCTTTGCAAGAATACACACATGTTGGTGGAGGGTGGGTCAGATCTGTCCTTAAAAAATGAAAATTTGGAGACCTTAAAGCACCTTACACTAGCTTTGGGAGGCTACACACACATTGGTGGAGAGTGGGTCAGACCTGTCCTTTAAAAATGGCAATCTGGAGTCTTTAGAGTAGCTTACACTATCTTTGCAAGACTACACACATATTGGTGAAGGGTGGGTCAGATCCTGCCTTAAGAAATGAAAATTTGGAGACCTTGGAGTACCTTACACTATCTTTGCAAGACCACATTGGTGGAGAGTGGGTCAGATCTGTCCTTTACAAAATGAAAATTTGAAAACCTCGGGAGCATCTTTGCAAAATGACAGACACACACCTCTTATTCCTCTCCTCCTTGGTTTATTGTCTGGAATATTGGAGGTATCAAACTGACTCCCCTTTTGCAAAGATTGATTTGTTGTTGTTGTTGTTGGAAAAAGAATATATATTGGGGTTGGGTGGGAGAAGCAATCCATTTTATGTTTTAGGAAGGGGGTACCCACCTAATGTCCCCAATTCTCAGGCATCTGTGATGTTTAATTTGGAACTGAAGTAAAACCTAGTGGAGAATTGGGCTGCACCAGTGCCTTTTGCTATATTAAAGTATATTAAAATGCACATTTTTCCCCCAGGCATGTACTTTTGAGTCCCTATAAATAAAGACTCAGGACACCCCCATCTTCACCTGTCCTGCCTTTAGCTTAAAAGCAGACCTTGCAGAAAACAATGAGCTAATAATATCATCCCATGATGATTCCCTTGAGAGTAGGCCCATTGAACCAAAGGGAATTTACACAAGTGTTGACTTGCCTCTTGATTTCCAGTATCTATATCTTCCTTTAAAGGGCAAGTGGTTCAAGGGTAAAAACAGACAAGAAAAGAATAGCTTGAAAGGATCCACTAATAAAAGTAAGAATAGCAAATGTCATGGGTTGGTTAGGTCTACTCTAACTGGGACAAAGGATTTGGTGTAGGGAAGAGTCTCATTTAAATATTGCTAACATTTCTCTTTAAGTCTTAATTTTTCTTATTATGGCAACCATGATCATCTGGGGCTACAACGAACATACACACAAATACACATACCCTCTTGCCAATGGGGCTGAATCAGACTAAACCACCCCATCCCATGCCTTGAAGTCTTTATGGGGTTATTTCTTGCAAATTTGCAGAGTGGGGAGGGGAAAAAAAAAGATTGGGGTGAAGTAGGGATTCCTCTAATTTTGCACAATTTGTTTGTACATGTCCACCAAAGAAAGGGATGTGCGTGGTTGTATGGGCAGGGTTTTTTGGGGGGAATATGAGTGGCCATCCTTCAAAGAAGGAAAGAAGGGGGACCCTCTGCACCCCACTTTAGGCTACTTTGGGGGAAGCCAACTTGGATTGGGGTGCTGTCTTGGTTTGCTGATGGCTGGTTGCTTGCAAAATCCCTTTTGTGTTGACAGGTGGATGGGTTTTGCCTCCCCTCCTTGCACACTGAAAGGAGGACAGTGGGGTTTCAGAAAAGACACAAACACACACAGACACACACACACCAAGCTGAGCTTCTGTCTGGAACAGGACGCATTGTCTGATATGGAGATGGAGGAGGAGTGCGTTGGGGGTGTCTTAAGAGGTTTCGATGAATGTGTTCAGGGTTGGGCGCTGAACAATGAGAAAACATGGTGCTCTGCAGTTCAGTAAGGATGTCTTTGCTGCCACCACCTCAAGACAAAAAATCAGGGCTTTCCTAGCTGGTGCTTCCCAGTCGTCTGTTCCATTAGAAGGGATCCTGAAGGTCATCTGTCTCAGCCCTCTTTTCAAGCTTCTTGCAGTGTCTTGGCTGGTCCTAATAAAGGTTTTTCCCCAAATAATTTTTTTTTAAAAAAGTTAAATTTAAAAATTTTGAGATTTGAATTTTAAAAAATTCTGGGCCTCTCCTTTCTCCTCCCACTGAGTTTCATCCCACTCCCACCATCTTTTAAAGCATTTTGAGGGGAAACAGATGAATGCCACAGCCCATTTCTTCCAAAAAGTTGGCGTTTGGGGAGCAGTGGTGTCACCTGGTGTGATCCACACCCCCTTAGTGATGCCAATGACCCAAACCATTACCCAACACTGGCTCAGAGATCTTAACGCATGTTTTTCTTGGCCCTTGGTAGGGCAGAAAGCCTAGATTCATAGAAACCTATTGTTGGAGGGGATCCTAGAGGCCATCTAGTGCACCCCTTCCAATACAACCTCCAACTACATCACTCCTGACAGGTAGCCATCCATCATCTCTCCATCTGCCCAGGAAGGTTGTTTCAGCCAAAGTTTGCTTCCTTGCAATCTCTGTCTCTTGTTGTGTGTTTCCCTTCTGTTTAGCAAACAACCCTCCTGTTTTGTATTCCTGTAATCGTTGTGTCGTTTTGGGTAAAGTGAAATGTTTTGTAGGTAAAAAAAGAAAAACACACCTGTTTTTATGGGTAGATTTATTGCAGATTAAAATATTCCTAACCTGCCTTTTGTGCCAAAGCTCTCTGGGGATACGGCGCTGAACCCACAAACAAGAGGCATATTTAAAAAGTCAAAATATTTAGAATAAAAAAAAAGACACTGGTAAAATTACA